AAAAATGAAAAGAGGTGGGCGGGGCCACTGTGTTTGTTCAGTACATGTAGCGATATCTCAGCAAATAGAAAATGTAGGTTCTTATTTAAACTTCTAGTTTGTAAATATTGGTAATTTGAGTTCCTAATTCGTAAGAAACTATAGACTTTGTATTTGGACATCACAAACATGTAATTTGAACCAATGCTGCATTCAACATACCACATGTCACACACACAAAAATCGATATTTAGGATTTCTTTTTTAATATTTACTTTTAAATTAAGAAATTAATTAATATATCATACTAACATTTATATTATAATCTGCAATTTGATACCAAACTTATTGATATACATTCATAAAATAGTAGTTCAATAACATTATGAATGTGAGTCTACAAACGCGATGACATGGCCTTTGACCCATAGAGATAGGGTTAAAGAGCTAAAATGCTATTGATTTGTTCCAGATTACTTCTAAAGTTGAGTGAAAACGTTCCATAATAACAAATCGTTGGATAAACGGAAGAAAGGGAAGCCACTTTAATGTGTGTAAAAAGTGCTAAGTATCAAAAATAATTCAGCAGGATTGGACTGTAAAATCTATATTTAAATAAAAGAAAAAATGTGCATCCACAGAGCTCTTAGATCTGTTTTGATGTTAATGAAATAAGCTTTACATTAAAGAAGACTCTATGTACATCATTTGAGATGTTTTTCTTACAAGTTGTCCTAGTTTCAATTCTTTATGAACATTACAAATTGATGTGTTTATTTATTAGCTGAATTATCTGGTTGTGTACAAAAATGAGATACACACAGCTATATACTAATAAAAAATTTGACAAGAAGTAGAATCTGATTATTTAGATCTTCCTACGTTTTTATGAACTTATTTTTTATACAATAAGGACAGAGTTTTTATAACATACTTCACTGACAAATTTCAACCCTTTAAATACTGACAAACTTTTATTAACTTAAGTCACACCATTTACTAGGCCACTTCTCAAAGTCTCGACAAACTTTTATTAACTTCCTATTAGATGGTGTGACTTCCACTTCTCAAAGTCTCGACAAACTTTACCAGCCACCACCTAACACTAGCTACATTTTACAAAAACTACATGATAACTCAGCCAGGGTTCATTGCAATGCCTGCTTGATTTTTATCTGTATGTCAAAGTTGATAGTTTTATAATTGCCAAGATATTGTTTAACAGAGTGAATTACACAATGTTAAATATGAATGAGATGTAAAAGCAAGCCATTTTTTTTTTCTCAGTCTGTAATGTTTGCTACATTTAATTTTTTTGTGGCTATATTTTTTCATAATCTAAAATTCATGAAACTGGTCATAGGTCCTACCTTAAAATGGGTCACACTTCTCAGTCCCACATAATTTACAGAAGATCACTGTATGTACAGAATAAAGATTACAATTTCCTATTAAGGATCTACTGTTAACTAGTAGTACTTGATATCTTTTTTATTAGAACCTTAAGCTGTTATTTATTCATATTCTTTGTTTTAGTACTTGAGATTTCTTCTTCAACTTTTAATTTTTCCTCTCAGGGTTCATAGAGCGAGTCAAAACTACATTTTCCCCATCTTTTTGTCAGAAGAAATATTACCTAGTGCTGTTTTCTATGGTACGGTGGCACCCATCTTGGGTTGGTATGCTCTTAAGGTGTTAATTATAACCCCATACCAACAAAGACAGAAAGAAAGGTGAGTTGTTTGTTGATGTGAATATTGTTGGATCACAGGATTCTGGAAAGGTGGACTGTTTGTTGATGTGAATGTTGCTGGACCACAGGATTGTGGAAAGGAATGACTGTTTGTTGATGTGACTATTGTTGGACTACAGGATTGTGGAAAGGTGGACTGTTTGTTGATGTGACTGTTGTTGGACTACAGGATTGTGGAAAGGTGGACTGTTTGTTGATGTGACTGTTGCT